TGGAGAAGAATGTTGCACATCTTTCAGTGCTAGAATTTAGATCAATTTACCACTCTAAGAGTTTGGGGAATAGTCAAGCTACAAAGCATCTGGTAAATGATTGTCTGTCCACCTGATCTTCTTTGCCCATGTCTTGGGTGAATCTGCACCTTCACCCCCAACTGCAATCCTTGGAAGTACCACAGCGGCACTGGTGCTGAAGCTGTACTGAAGATTTCCATTCTGATGGAAAATAGGATTCCTGAGAGCTTAGACTCCTATTTCACCGCCATCTTTTGGAAGGCATTGTGACCCAGGCAGATACCAGGCCCTCTACTAATGGGAAAACTGGACTGGACCGTGCTCAAACCTACCAAACAGACTCCTGTTGCCTATGGCAAGGGCTACACAATATAACAGGACACAAAATGAAGCAGAGCAAGATAGCAAACAAAGTCACAGCCCTCCCTGACCCACTCAGTTCTTTCTATGCTTGGTTTGAGCAGAATGCCAGTGGCACAGTGACACACCTGTTCCCCCGGTCACTGCTGCAGACATCAGATCGGTCTTCCTGGAAGTCAACCCAAGGAAAGCGACAGGCCCAGATGGTGTCCCCAGCCGAGCACTCAGATCTTTGTGGACCAACTGGCAGAGATATTCACCGACATCTTCAAACTCTTCCCTCCTACAAACTGAAGTCCCCACCTGCTTCAAGACCATCATCATCCCCATACCTAGGAAAACACATGCAGTGTGCTTTAATGACTACTGCCCAGTGGCTCTGACTTGAATAATCATGAAGTGCTTTGAGAGGCTGGTCATGGCCCATATCCACTCCACTCTCCCAGCCTGCCTCAATCCCCCACAGCTTGCATACCGATGTAACAGGTCCACAGCAGATGCCATATCCCTAGCCCTGCACTCATCCCTGGGACATCTGGAAACCAAGGACACCTACATCAGACTCCTGCTCATTGACTGCAGCTCCACCTTCAATACCATTATCCCCTCCAGACTGATCTCAAAACTCCGAGACTTTGGTCTCAGCTCCACCCTCTGCAACTGGATCCTCAGCTTTCTGACCCATAGGCCACAATCAGTGAAGATAGGTAACTGTATCCCCTACCCCACCCACAATAAATCTCAACAGTGGAGCCTCCCAAGGATGCGTCCTCAGCCCCTACTGTACTCTCTGTACACCTATGATTATGTTGCCAAATTCAGAACGAACGCCATCTACAAGTTTGCTGATGACACCACCACAGTAGGACGAATATCTAACAATGACGAGTCAAAATACAGAAGTGAGATAGAGGGTTTGGTGATGTCGTGCAATGAGAATAAACTCCCTCTCAACGTCAGTGAAATTAAAGAACTGATCATTGACTTCAGAAAGAAAGGAGGAGAACACACCCCCCCATCAACATCAATGGAACTGAGGTAGAGAGGGTGGAGAGCATCAAGTTCCATCAAGATAACCGACAACCTGTCCTGGACTTCCCACGTAGATGTGACAGTCAAGAAGGCACAACAATGCCTCTTCTTCCTCAGGCGGCTCAGGAAATTTGGCATGTCCATAAGGTCCCTCACCAACTTCTACAGATGCACCATTGAAAACAAACTGTCCAGGTGCATAACGGCCTGGTCTGGCAACTGCTCTGCCCAGGACTATAAGAAACTACAGAAGGTGGCGTGAACAGCCCAGACCATCACGGAAGCCAACCTTCCATCCATGGACTCCATGTACACAGCTCGCTGCCGCAGAAAGGCTGCCAACGTCATCAAAGACCCATTGCACCCTGATAATGACCTCCTACAACCTCTTCCATCAGGCAGAAGATACGGAAGCCTGAACAGACGCACCAGTAGGTTCGGCAAACAGCTTCTTCCCAGCTGTTATTAACCTGTTGAATGGACTGTCTAGCCTCAAATAATGCTGATCCTGCTAACGTTGATTTTGCTTAACACACACTTTGTGCACTGTAACCTGTATGCCTCTGTCTTAGTCTTTTTACAACCTCTGATCTGTACATCCTTCCATGTACTGTACACCTGCCTGTACTGCTCGTAAACAAAGCTTTTCACTGTACTTTGGTACAGTGTAATGATTGGGTTTTGTGTTTTCTGGCCTTGAATGTTTCTGCGCTGTAGCTCTGCATTATGGTATAATGACTAAGTACAGTCAGTGATGTGGAATCGAGCCTTTATTGTGTGGAGAATCAGCAAATCTCAGCTGGGGCAACATTATGACTCTGCTACAAATGGCAGAGAGAAGGGAAAGCTGAATGTTGCCTATGCTAATCTCAATTTGTTACAATCATTTTCCCATTCCCCACAGTCAAGGTGTTGGAGTTTATATCATGAAATGATAGGATTGCACTGAATAGTGATGCCCTCCATGTTGCAGAGTCCCCCAACACAATGTCTAGGCTCATACAATAATGCAATGTCAAATAATAGAGTTACAAAGCTTTACAGCATGGAAACAGACCCTTTGATCCAAGGTGCCCATGCCAACCAGATATCCTAAAGAAATCAGCATTTGGCCCATATCTTTCTAAACCCTTCCTATTCATGCACCCATCCAGATGTCTTTAAGTGTTGTAATTGTACCAGCCTCCACCATTTCCTCTGGCAGCTCTAAGGTCACCCCCTCAGCCTCCGCGCTCTAGAGAAAATAGCTCAGCCTACTTAGCCTCTCCCTATAGCTCAAACCCTTCAGCCCTGCCAACAACCTTGTAAATGTTCTCTAAACCCTTTCAAGTTTCACAACATCCTTCCTATAACAGGGAGACCAGAACTGCGCACATTATTGCAAAAGTGGCCAACCAATGTGCTGTACAGCCACAACATGATCTCCCAACTCCTATACTCAGTGCACTGATCAATAAAGGCAAGCATACCAAACACCTTCTTCACTATCCTGTCTACCTGTGACTCTACTTTCAATGAACCTGCACTCCAAGGTCTCTTTGTTCAGCAACAGTACTTTGTATTTCTCAATACTTCCCAAACCTTTCCCCACTGTAACCCCATTTCAAGGTTTGAAAATGTTCTGACCACTCAATGAGCACTGAGTTGGTTGTGGGGTGGGGATCGGAGTTGGTTGGTGTGAGGGCAGGGGCCTGAAAATGGGTTTTAATAAATTGGTTGGACCTCCATGGCAACCATTGCTGGCTCAGAATGCGTGACCCTCTGTGTATTTTCCAGCAAAAGCTAATGCTTCTGGAGGGATTGGGCAAGGGAAAATGTAGTGTAGCCTGGGCTATGCAATTTGCAGATTAATATAGAGTTCAGTGAGGGGGAGTGTGTTTGACAAGGGAGAGTGGGTTTGGGATGAACATTGTCTTGCCGGTGATTCTCATGTTTTACGAAAGTATTTTAAAAAGTACAAATACTACTCTGGCAAGCAAATTGTGAAATCAAGAGTACTTTGCAGAATATGACCCTGTTAGATGGTTCTAAAAATCCACCGCCTCGTTAATTTTGTTCAGGAAGGGGAATGTGTAACTTCTGCATGCGTTTGCAATCTCGTGGTTAACAAATACCCACAGAGCAACGTGAGATAAAATGTAAATTGTCTCTCCTTCCCGGTTGCAAAAATATAGAGGAGATGCAAAGGAATAGCTATGGTATATACGCAACTGTGTGCATCTGGGATGTCCCGAGGTGTACCACAAGGAATATAATGATACAACATTTGATACTAGCCAAAAGAAAGAGATATTAGGACAGGTGCCCACGAGCTTGGTCTTGATGCAAATCATTAAGCGTTGGGTTGGGTTTGTTGGCTTTTGCACGTTCTGCAGGTTTCGAGAAAGGCGTTTATGGAAGGGCGGGATTGGGCCGGCTCGGCCGCCGTGCACCAGGCAGAGGCTGCCGGGTAGATGGCGCTGAGCGGGCGGCAATGAGCGAGAGAGGGGAACTGGATCTGACCGGAATCAAACTCAACACCGGCGTCTGGCTCGTCAAGGTCAGCACCACCCCCCACACCACCACCCCCGGGGGGATTGGGGGTGGGGGACAGGGTCGCCGCCACTCTCTCTGTCTGGGGACAGGGTCAAGGTCAGCACCTCCCCGGGGGGGGGTGGAGCGCAGTGACAGGGACAACCCCAGGGGAAGGGGGTCAACCCCAGGGAGAGGAGGGATGGGGGAAGGGGAATGGTGAGGTGGGAATTGAGGGGGGTGCTAACAGGAGGGTTTGGGTACTGGGAAGGGGACATATTGTGGGGTGATGGGCAGGGATAAGAGGCTGAGGCTGAGAAGGAGGAGTAATTGGGTGGGGGGAAATGGTGAGGACTGTTGAGGGAGGATGGGTAGTCAGGAAGGGTAAAGCGAGGAATGAGATGGGGAATGGGTGGGAGGAGGTGGTGTAATGTGGCATAGGTTGGGGTAGGGTTATGGTGGTGATGGAGGAGTGATGAGGGGTGGGGTGCGGAGGGGGTACAAGGAGAGACAAAAGGGGTAACAGTGTGGTAGTGGCAATGGTTGGCAGGGAGGTGACTAATGAAAGTGGGGAGTCGAGTGGTTGTGGCTAGTGGCAGTGGCAGTGGCAGTGGCAGTGGCAGTGGCGGGGGGGGGGGGGGGGGGGGAAGTTGAGGTGGTAACAGTAAAGAGAACGTGGGGTGAAGGGAACAGGTAATGGAAGTGGGCAGTGGAAGGGGTCTGAAGAAAGCAGGGGCAAAGAAGAGAAAAGCAGGTGTGAGGGAAGAGTACTGTAAATGTGGAGAATGGTTAACACAGGAGGACAATGATTT